AACTCATCACAACTCTGTTCTACTGCCTGGCATTTGGGCTGAATCTCCTGATACTTGTTTAGGAGACTCTAAAGACCTGGGGCAGGAGCACTGTGCAAGCAACTGCTGTCCTCCCCAAAGTGGAACATGGAGGTGCCCAACTTGTGCCTGAGCCAATTCGGGCCCAGTACACCCTGTAGGGTGCAGCCTCCTGCCCTATCTCCAGAAATTCACTGTAGGCTGCACTTCTCTCCAGTTTATCAGCCCTCTTTCCTGAGCCCATGTACCTGCAGAGACTAGAGCCAAGACATGGGCTGGATTAACCTTCTTGGCTGAGTCAAGTGTCCAAGGCAAATTTTTATTTTATCTCAAGAGGAGGTGGCTTCTTCTGGAAGTCAGCAGGATACCTATTTATAAATACATACATATAAATATATGTATATATTTACGTATGTCTATAACTATATGTATATGCCTATACTTATATGCATATGTATGTACATATAAATGTATATTTCTATGTATGTGCATATAAATATATGCACATATTTATATACACGTAAACGTATGCTTATATTTATACACATATAAACATATAGTAGTAATAATTGTAATATACCTGCAGTGTCCCAAGTCTGCTCCTTTCCCAACCTGCGAGAGGAGGAAAATCAGTGGCCTTGATGTCAGAATCTTGGCAGAAAACAGAAGAGAACTGAACCCAAGGCTACAGTGGGATCTGGGGTTCAGTAAGAAGTTGGGAAGGCTGTGGAGTGATGCTGTAACAGAGCCCACGTTCTCGCAGGATAGAGGGGCTGTGAGGCTGCTGATCCTGCTGTAGGAAGCAGGACTTGAGTCCTCTTGAGATCCTAATGGCAGCTGCAGCCTTCCACCCCTGATGTGCTGGCATTATTTGATGACCCTTAAACCATTCAACCTGCTGAGGGTAAGGAATGAAAATTGTTGCTGTGCTCAGGATTGACAGGGTAAGGTCCCAGCAGGGTCAGTGGGACCCAGAGGCTTGGGATTGTAGAAGCAGTTCAGTGGACTGTGGGTCTTAACTCTAATTTTAAAGAAGAGGTGGTAGATAAATTGGGGCCCAGTAAGGGCTTAAATTGAGACTCTGCTAAACAGAGACCACAAAGTCCAGGAGCATAGACATGACCCCCACCACCCTCCTCAGGAAAGGCTAGTCATATGAGGAAAAGAGGAGGCAGGACAAGGAGCTGGACCTTCGAATCTCTTCTTTTAATTTGTTTATTTATTTATTTGAGACACAATCTCAGTCTGTCAACCAGGATAGAGTGTGTGATGTCAGCCTAGCTCACTGCAGCCTTAAACACCTGGGAGATGCCTTAACTTCTCAAGTAGGTGGGACTACCGGTGCCCACCATGAGGCAGGCTGCAGGCTAATTTTCCTATTTTTAGTACTGGGTCTCTCACTCTTGGCTGATTTCTAACTCCTCAGCCCCAAGGATCCTGCTGTGTTGGCCTCCTGGAGTGCTAGGATTATAAGCAGGAGCCAGGAAGCCCCAGGAATCTCTTGGGTTTTTTTTTGTTGTTGTTTGTTTTTTTGGCCAGGGCTGGGTTTCCTTACTTCTTTGAGTCAAAGGTGTGGCCCAAATCTCTTGTTTTTAAAGGGACCCATGTCTAATGGCTTTTTCTTCTTAGATGCTTAGATCTGAGTAAGGGCAGAGTTCTTCTTGAAGTTTTTTGTTTTGTTTTGGTGAGGTTTGTTTGTTTGTTTGTTTTCTAATCTCTTCTCAAACCACATGCCCTGGTGGAAACTGTGGCCTTCTAATTTTAAGATTGTTTTCTCTTAAGCACCAAAGGAGGCAAAAAAAACTTTAAACTTTCTCTGTTGCATCCCTTATAAAGACAGGATTTATTCTGTAAAATTTGGAAGGCAGCATTAGAAGGCCACTTATGGCCTTAATGCCGCAAGTTCCCCACACTCACCTCCTAGGAGCTTTTCAGAGCCAGGACCCAGCCCCCCATCCCTACATATCTCTGACTCAGTTGGGCCTACTCCCTCCTCACACACAGAAATATGGCTGAACTTGGACTCCCATCTGTTCAGGGGATAGAAATCAAAGGCCATCTGGGGCTTCCCTTATTGCAGAGGGAATGGCCCAGGAGAAAAAAAATGGCAAAAATATTTTCTGACTCCCCAACTTTTGGGGAACAGAAACCTGAATCCTTGCCTCAGGCCAGTGGTCAGCAAGGGCAGGTAATGGCTCATTCTTTGTACTATGGGAGATACTTCTAGAATTGTCTGGGTGGAGTTCCATCAGATCCTCTTAACTGGAGATGGGATTAATCTGGGTGGAGGTCACAAGACAATTGCAGAAGATACAGTATTGCCTTGGCCCAAAATGAGATTATAGGATTAGAACTTTTAAAAGCTCTGAGATTCTGTTCAGAAGGAGGAATTGGGATTTGAGACTATTGCTGCCATTTTCCCCCTTTGCAGGCAAAGTAATAAACCTCTTTCCTCCTAAAACCGCTTTTTCTGCCCCTCTTTTTCTGATGTGGCTTTGGCAGCAGGTTGGGCTCAGACCCTGAGAGACCAGCCTTTTTCTCTCTCCCCGCATCTTGGGTTTTGTTGTTGCTGCTGTTGTTGTTGTTTTCTGTACTATTACTTTTCTCTCCTTCCTTTGACCAGGCTCACTTTGACAATCACTTCCCCTACATTTATCCTTGAAACTTAGGTGAACTTGGTTCAGTTCTATGGCAGCCCTAGACCAGACAGGAGGCTGGATGGCTACCATGAACAGCCTTTCCCCCAAATACCTCATCTTTTTACAAGTTGGAGGGAAGCGAGGGGGCCCACACCGCTTGTTATTATAAGACATCTCAGGAAATAGGAAGAGAATAAAGGAGCCTTTTGTGCCTGGGGCATCTGGTCTAGCCAAAGGAGATGGACAGTGTCCTTGCTTTAGGTGCCATGGCTTCTCCAATGGCACAGAGGGGCTTGTGAAGGCAGGCCTGGTCCCAGACTGGCTACAACAACCTGTGGCCTTCCTCTTCTTCCTGGGGGTAACTACCTTTGGGTGCATATCTTGAACATTTCCTTGCTTCTGGACCTGGGGAAGAAGAAGAGGCTGCAGGGTATACGCAGCCTATGACTTACCTGAGTGGGGAAAGTTGAGCAAGAGGGACCCAAGTGCCACCTCAACTGGGACCACCTTCCTCCTCCCTCCCAACACTGTGCCATTCTTAGAAACTGTGCTGGTCATTGCCTGGTGTCCTCAGCTGAAATCCTTCCCTCCACACATGTTCCCCATAGGCCACTTCTCTTGGGAGCTTTACTGGCTTTACTTGGGTGTTTCTTGCTGCATAGTTCCTAGTGGTGACTCCCAGGATCCTTTTTCTCATGATCTCTGAGGCTGCTTCCTGGACCCTGATATAGTGTGAGAAAGCTCCAAATGAGATGGGTGCCAGCTGTCTCATCACCCCCATAAGATGGATGCTGGTTGCCTCACAACGTCTCATACCACCCCCCGGGTAGGAGGAAGGGAAAAACAGCCAAGGCAACATAGTGAGATCCTGTCTCAAGATAATAAAAATGGCAAAAATGGGCATCTTTGTCTTATTCCTGATCTTAGAGGAAAAGCATTCAGTCTTTTGCCATTGAGTATGATGTCACTGTAGGTTTTTCATATATGACCTTTAACATGTTGAGAACATTCTCTTGTATTTCCAGTATCTTAGGTGTTTTACTTGTGGAAATATATTGGATTTTGTCAATTGGTTTTACTACATTAGTTTAGATGATTATGTGGGGTTTCTTCCCCCTTCATTCTATTAATGTGACATATTACATTGTTTGATATTTGTATGTTGAACCATACTTGCATTTCTGGAATAAATCCCTCTGGTCATGGTATTTTTATTAAGCAGTTGAATTCAGTTTGCTAGTATCTTGCTCAATATTTTTTTTTCCTTTTTTTTTTCTTTGAGACAAAGTCTCACTATGTTGCCTTTGGTAGAGTGTTGTGGCATCATAGCTCACAGCAACCTCAAACTCTTGAGCTTAAGAGATTCTCTTGCCTCAGCCTCCCAAGTAGCTGGGACTACAGGCACCCACCACAACACCTGGCTATTTTTTGTTGTTGTCATTGTTGTTTGGCAGTCCCTAGACTAGGTTCGAACCTGCCATCCCCAGTGTATGTGGCCAGAGCCCTAGCCACTGAGCTACAAGCATGGAGCCTTGTTCAGTATTTTTGAACATCCCCACATTGATAAGGGATGTTGGTCTGCTTTTATTTTGCTTTGTCTATTAACACATGTTCTCAAATGGTATATAATTACATTTACAACTTATTGTCTGCTCTATACCTATCATAAGAGTTTTCCAGGGCAATAATTTGCTTCGTTCAGTGATGTATTTCAAACCACTTATCATAGTGCTTGGCACATACAAGCTGCTCATTACTCTTCTGTTGAATAGAGCTATTCTTGGCTATTATCTCGCGCTCTCCCCTCATTTACTCAGATACCAAGCTATAAGACAACGCCCTAGTCCCTTCTCGAATAACCGGAAGGGCCCTCACTTGGGTTCTGGGCACTTGGCAGCTCAGTCTCCACTCTGCCTCAGCCTACCAATCGGAGAACGACACTTCCCAGAATGCTTTGATTCCCACGTGGACTACATATCCCAGAGGCACGTGCGGCCACCGGCCCCGCCCCTTCTGGTGTTTGCTAGCAGGTGAGGGGCTCCAGAGCCTGAAGTTAGCCCCGACTTCGTCCGGGGGAGACCTGCCGCGAGATTGGTGCGCGGCGGAGGCGATCGTGACCTTCTCCCCTGTGAGCTCGGCCGCAGGAGGGGCGGCCTGCGGGAACCCCCGAGCCAGGAGAGGTGAGCGGCGGAGGCGGAGGGGGCGGCAGACCGGGCCTTGGGAGGATGCGGCGCCGGGGCGAGGGGACAGACCCTCGGCCGCAAGGGACCCCGAGGGACCTTTATGGGCTCGGGCGGGCACCTCCACGTCTGTCACCGGTCCCCACCAGCCGCCCGATGACTCTCCCCGGACTCGTCATGTCGGGTCCTTGGTCCTCAGCAGTCCCAGGCCCACCCTCCCTGCTGCTTCCTGCTGGCCGCTCACCGCGGGTTCCCGCCGGGCACTTCGGGCCCTGGGCTGACGACCTGGCGCGGGCGATGTACCAGTGCGGGCGCTGGACGTGCCTTCCGGGGAAGTGAGACGCTAGCGTTTCCCGTGGCGGGACCGGAACGGAGACCCAAGACTTTGGCTTCTGTGCGTGTTCCTCAAGTCAACCTCTTTTCCGCCTTAGGAAAACTAGCATTTTCCTTTTTTGAGGTAATTTTCTATTGATGTCTGGGATTTGATTCCTTGACGGAGGGAGCGGAATCAGGTGGGAAAGGCTCGAGGTGGAGGCAAGTTCCCACTTCGTCCTGGGCTTCCTGATCTATAATATGGGGGTGCCGGCAATGCTAGCTGGCTCTGTAAGACTTTATGTTGGCCAGGGCTCAGGGGGTCGCTGTTGCTGATAGAGTTCAGTGTCTTGCTCAGTGTCCTGCTCTGAGTCCTGTTCTCTGGACTCTGAACCGCAGGAGTTAGGACCTTCACCAGGATCCCCGTCTCGTGCTGTGCGGGCTCCTAGCTCTTTCTCCCCCCCCCACCCCGAGGGCACTTGGGGTCATTGTCAGGTGGTATAAGGATTCCAGAGCTGCTGACTCTGAGGGGTGGAAAACAGAAGGGGCTTCCTCCTGGCTCCCCTTTTCTTCTCTCAGATCCGCCTTCTGGAGACTGCACCCATGCTCAGGGGAAGAACCCAGGAGGAGGACATGGCTACTGAACAAAGGGAAGCAAGGTCTCAGGTGAGCTCATTGCCATCTCTGTTCTTAGTGGATGGATTTTTTTTATTTTTTAAAACCTTCTAACTGAAGTTCTCTACCCAATACAGTCATTACCAGGTTTTGGGGCACAGTGGTCCTTTTACCTTGGAGGAGTTGGTCCACTCTCCTGGATGGTGGATTCTTGAGGAATGCTTCCCTCCACTCCCATTTCATGCCTAGTGTACTTTTCTTTTCCTGATAGACATAATTTTCTTCACTAATCTCAATCCACTGTGTGATTACTGATTTGAGAGGTAAAGTGCCATAAGTCTTTATGTCCCTAGCATCACAGCAATCATGCACACCTGGGAAAAACCCTTTCTGGCCTTGCTGCCATCATTCATCCATGTCTTCTCTTGCTACCGTTGGTGAGAATGCTTTTTTTCTTTCCATTCCTGAGTATTCTCATAATACCTTCTCCCAGGTTTCTCCAACTCATTAGGTTTAGTTTTTCTCCCTCTTAACTTAATGGATCACATGCCCTGTTTGTACTCCTCTCTTGAAAACTGATCTAGACCTGTCATTTTTAATGTTGGAGAGAGGGAAGCATCCCATCCAGGTGAGATAAGCATGAACAAAAGATAGCCATGTTGCAGGGGCTGCAGGTGGAGAGGACTCTTGCCTCTGAGGGGAGAGAGATAACTTTTCAGGAAGTCAAAGTGAGGGTTTTGTGGAATATTGGTATGGAAAGGCCATATACACAGTGGTTAGGAAGTGGGGCTCTTAAGCTAGATGGCCAGGTTTTGATCCTTTTCCTCTGTTGTTCTTTGTGGGACTTGGACAAATAACTTCACCTCTTTGTGCCTCAGTTTTTCCACTGAGGAAAATGGAAATAACAACCATGCTTTTCTCATAGGGTAGGTGAAAACCTCACATGACTTAGTGCATGGAAAGTGTTTACGTCAGGGCTGGATACATGGTACCTGTTGAATATATGGTGGTTGTGGTACCTGAGTGATACTATATTAATGATTATCTGTAATGTTGCTAGAAACTGCTATACAATATTTCTGGGACCCAGTCAATACTGATTCTTTTTTCATTGTTCATTTTACAGTAATAGTTAATGTTTTATCAGGTATCCAGTGTGATAACATTTGTTATTTCTCACAATCATAATAGCACAATTATTATTTCCATTTTACATAGGAGCAAACTGAGGCTCAGAAAAGTCAAGTAACTCATGTTCATCCCAAGTGTGTCTGGCTTAATTTATGCTTACACCATCCATTTCTTCCTTTGGTACATCTTTCAGAGCATGAGAAAATCCAGCCATGTGTTACTAGTGCTATTCCAAAAAATCTGGCTTTGTCTTTCGGATCCATGAATGCGGTAGGGTCTGATCTGAGGGTAAGGCCAGGACCTGCTATTGCATATTTGAGCTGCTATTTTTCTTTCAAGGCTTTACCATTCTATTCCAACAGAGCCAAGTTGCTCTCTGCCCAGAATCCTCTCTATCCCTGTGTATAAATGAATCTGTATATGCATCTAACCATGCCTGCTGCCCAGACATCAGTATCTTGTGTTCTTGTGTGTGAAAATTAAGTGATGAGACATTTAAGACCAGAGAGAGAACAGACAGAGAATACTGGGTTTACAGTTAGAAAACTGGAATTATGGTTCTGTACTGCCCCTAGTAAAACATTTGACCTGGGGTCTTAGCTGCCCCTGACCTCTGTCTGTTCCTTGTCTCTCTGAAATGAGAATTGAAGATATCATAGGATCCCATCCAGCTATGCAGTTTCTTTCATTACCAAGATTATTTCATACATTTGCTAGTCTGCCAGCTGCATTGTAAATTCTTTGAAGACAAAAATCACTTTTTTTATTTCTTCCCATTATGCAAATAATTTGATGCTGTTTCTTACCATGAAAATATTTTGCAGAATCATGGAGGAAATTTTAGAGAATAAACCCTGCCTAGGATATCCAGCTATAGCATTTTCTTATCCTCTTTGTGACTCTTTTATCTTGTGTAAATGGGAACAGTACTTTCTTCATGTGAGAATATTAAATTATATACTAAAGATTAATATAAACCTTTAAAACAATATCTGACACATGTAAAATATTCAATAAAAGAGAACTATTTTAAGTAAGTATACAGTGCCACAAGTTATTTTGCCTAGTCTCCATCAGTGAGCATTTAGGTTGTTTTCATTTCTTTTCTAGGACAAGTACTTTGACAGTATCTTTGCATTTGTACTTTTCTGTTCATTATAGTGCAAGTATAGTAATTGTTAAGTTAAAGAATATACACATTTACAAGCTTTTTAATACGTATTTTAAAATCACCACTAGAAATATTATTCTAATTAACACTCTTGCTGATGGCCTAGTTCCTCTTCCTGTCCCTTATAGCCGTTAACACAGGCCTAGTTCGTTATACTGCTCAGCGTACATGTATCGGTAGTCAGTTGTTTGTTAAATGAATGGCCTAGAACCTTCTTGAATAGTATCAGAAGCATTCTATTTGTACCCTATCTGTCTTTCCTATGCTACCCTTTTCACCTTGGGTGAGCTGGAAGGGTTTGTCCTTACAGGTGTCACTGATGTTTGAGGATGTGGCTGTGCTCTTCAGTCGGGATGAATGGAGAAAGCTAGAGCCTTCTCAGAGAAACTTGTACCGGGATGTGATGCTGGAGAACTATAGTAACCTGATCTCTCTGGGTAAGGATGTTTCCCCTGCAGATAGAAAATTCAGAAATTGTAATATCTCAGCACCTCCTTGCCTGAGTAAAAGCTGTAGGTCATCAAAAAACTTTAGCTGAATTTGAGGATTATACAAATCAGATCTCTTTAAATAAACATTAAAAACATAATTCTCCCTTATAGACATGAGATTATTCTGTGGATGGGAATAGAGGAGGTGGTGTTGATAATCATCCCTTTCCTTCTATATTAGAAGTTTTTTCATGATTAGGCTATCATTTCACACTGATTGTTCTGTAGTTTGTTCAATCATCTCTATATTGGGCTTTGTTCAACCTCTGGACCTACAGAGCAGTCTGGTTAATAAGGGGAACTGTAGCCTGGAGTTTAATTGGGAAACTCCATGGTTCTCAGTCCTAAAGAAGTTGTGGGGAAGAGGAAGCTCCTAGATGCTAGCTTCTATTTATTGCCTTTCCCACTTTTTTTTTCCAGGAGTTAGTAAATTTTTCTATAATGAGCCATGTAGTAAGGATTTTAGGTTTTGTGGGCTAATACTCTGTGTAACATATTTCTTTTCCCCCGATCCCCACCATTCTTTGCACAAGGCCATACATAAATAAGTGGTTTTCTGGATGTGGCCTGCAATGTGTAGTTTGCTTACAACTGCCCTTCCTTGAAAGGGAGTCATACAGTGTTTTGTCATTTTAAACAAGCTACCTGGTACACAGTCTTTTCTATAGTTGTTTGGTTATAATTTTGAATAAGTCTATATATGTAATCTTCCTTCTTCCGTAGAAAACTATTAGTGCTTTGTTAATTACCAAGTGCATGTTCATCATTCCTCCCTAACATTCAGTTAATTATAAAAGGTCAAGTCCTACAAATCACTTGCCTTTTTCTTTACACATTCCCTCACATCATGAGGGCATAATTTGAGCACCCCACAGAAACTTTTTGTACCCATCCTGTTAAATGTGGGGCACCTCTTTGTGTCGAAAGAAAACCAAGTGTGTTTTTCTGGGTTTTTTTGATTTTGGGCTTTTTTTTTTTTTTTTTTTTGTCTATGAGCAGGACTCCTCTTTACCAAACCAAAAGTGATCTCCCTGTTGCAGCAAGGAGAAGATCCCTGGAAGGTAGAGAAAGAAAGTCCTCCTGGCTCCTCTCTAGGTGAGTGGGTGGGTCTGAGGTATCCAGGAATCTTTCTGTAGGCAGCAGTCTGGTTAATAAGGGGATCTGTAGCCTGGAGTTTAATTGGGAAACTCCATGGTTCTCAGTCCTAAAAAAGTGGTGGGGAAGAGGAAGCTCCTAGACACTAGCTCCTACTTATTGTTTTGTAATCCCTTCACAAGGGAAACTCAGAATCTCTTGTTTTATCTGGTCGTTTCAGAAGAGGGCTGCATTTTTATGTATTGGTTCAACAAATATAGTATATTTAAGGAACTGTAAATAATTAATGCTGGCTAAAGCTTAGGGCATATATTTGTGAAAAGGAGGCAAGGAAGGAAATGAGCCTAGAAAGCTAGAGAATGTCCATGTGATAAGTGCTCTAGTATAGTTCTGAGTTGTGCACTATCTGATGGAGGATTGGAAATTATTGAAGGATTTCAGCAATCATATGGGTCTTTGATGTCTTAGAAGAATTCATCTGAATCAGAAACAATTTAAATGTCTTTCCATAGAGGAGTGGCTGAAGGAGCTACTGTGGGTCTTTACTCTGACAACTATTGCCACAGTGAGAACAGGAGCCCACTGAGGTGGACAGAGTTCCAAGGTGTATTAAGGACTAAAGCAAGTTACAGAGCCTAATTATGACATGTCAATGTTTAATGAAAATTGTGTGTGTGTGTATGTCTATGTCTATATGTGTAATATGTGCAGGGAGGAGGACATACCTTAGCTGGTAACACTAGTTACATTTGGAATGGGATTGAAAATAGGTCTTATGAAAGGGGACTTTATTTACATGTAATATTTTAATTATCAATAGAGAATATATTCATGATGTTCTTTTTTTTTGGAGATGGGGTCTCACTATGTTGCCCCAGCTGGTCTTAATCTTCTGGTCTCAAGTGATTCTTACACCTCGTATTTCCCTAGTAACTGAGATTATAGGTGTGTGCCACTATGTATGGTTATTCATGAAATTCTTAAGTGATTTGAATTTAATAAGAATAGTCAGTTTAGTTATATCCTGGGGCATAGATTTAAAGTGAGGCAAAATTAGAGGTGGGCAACTTTATGGAGCTTATTGCAGTCATGGAGGTAGGAAGTTAGCATGGAGAATGGAGAAGGCACTAGCCATGGGGTTCACAAGGGAAAAGGAGGAACCAGTGTGATCAGCGTTCAGGATATCTTCAATGTGGGATGATTTTTATTTGAGCTAGAGTGAAATACTTGGGAATTAATTGTTGGTGGGCAGGGTCCAGGTAGACAGGCCGGGGACTCACAAGGTAGGTCAGGGAGCTGTCAGCAAAACAGTATTATTTGAAGCCTTGAGCTGACCAGGTGAGGAAATGGAAAAGAGGACAGAACCTCAGGAAATCAACATTTACGAGGTGGTATGGAGGAATCTGTGACTGAGTCTGATCAGAGGAGAGGAATGGGAGACACCCCATCAGGGCAGTTGGGGACTGAAAGCTGTATTGGAGGGCCTCAGCTCTGAGGGATCAAGGTTGGAGCCCTTATGTTGGGTTTTCTGTCCCATCATTAGTGATGAGCAATCCCCATGCTAAGTTCTGGCCTTTTAGCATTGGGCAGAAAAAAATAGATGTACAAGGGTCCCACACTCTTGGAGCTCACAGTCTAGTGGGGAGGACAAGGGTAAACATACTCACTGTACACAGAGCATAGAAGGACACATACTGGCAAGGACCATATGGGAAAGATGCACAGTGCTGTGAAAACTCAGAACAGGAGAGGTGGCATCGGCAAAATCCTCCCTGAAGGAGGCTGTGGGTCCCCCAGGATGTGGATGACTTCTCCAGCCCTAGGGAATGGCATATGTCAAGGTCCAGAGAAGGGACTCCAGTGAGGAGGAGGACAGAGAAAGCACTCCAGAGAGCTGTGGGCCCTGTCACAGGGTTTGGTGGGTGCTTGAGAGCCAAGAGCAGAGCCTGAAAAGCCATCAGTAGCTTGAGGCAACTACTGGTTCACATCATGCAGCATCCAGCCTGCAGTGACCAGGTAGTGTTTTGGTTGTCATGTTTTTTTTAAGTGTCCAGTGGATATCCTTAATCCTTTCACCATTGTCGATGTTAGGTTTTCTGGGTTAGTTTACTTTGGTGGTAGACCACTATGCTGATCATTATGGAGGATGGATATGGGAATATCCTAGAGAGCTGGTGTCTTCAACAAGTGTATGTCAGTAAAGTATTTGATTTCTCCATCACAAATGAAACTCAGTTTAGCTGGATACAGGGTCCTGGGCTGACAGTTGTTTTGTTTTAGGAGATTGAAGGTCGATGACCATCCTCTTCTGGCTTGACAATTTTCAGCAGAGAGATATGCAGTCATTCTAATATTCTTCCCCTTGGAGGTTGTACTTTTCTTATGTATGGCAAAGTTAATTACAATGTGTCTAGGAAATGGTTTATTTGGATTGAGTCATGGTAGGGTTCTGAAACTGTTTGCTATCTGAATTTACATATCTCTTGCCATGCTTGGGAAATTCTCCTCCAAAAATTTCTTGGAGTAGAGCATCAGTGCCTTTAGGACCATCCTCTTCTTCAGGAATTCCTATAAGGTGAACATTTAATCTTTTGGAGTGGTCCCACAACTTTCTTAAGGAATGATCAGTTTTTGCTCTCTACTTCTTTATCTCTTTGCAAAAGCTTTGTCTTTGACTTCAGAGATCTTTTTTCCTGCTCCACTCTATTACTTAGGAATGCATATGAAGCTCCTCAAATAACTTTCTCATTTCTTTGAGGTCTGCACTTTCTTTTCTCCTTATGTCTAAATCCTTAGAGATTTTGTCTTTGAATTCATTGATTTCTTGAGACAACTTTTCAACTAGTCCTTGAATTTCTAATTCTAACTTTACTTCCATTCTGTTAATCTTATCTGCCCTCCATATTCTGAATTCTATTTCTGACATTTCAGCTATTTGTTTATGAATGGCATGTTCTGTTGTATCTCCTTTGTCATTCCTTTGGGGAGTTGATCTACTGTGATTATTCATGTTGCCAGAGTTTTTCTGCCCCATGATTATTTTTCACACTTTGGCTAGAGAAGTTGGTAAGGTGAGATTGGATTGAGGGTTCCAGGAGTTGTAGTTAACCAGTCATTTACTGGTGGCTTTTCCCCCACAGCTTTACTAAAGGTCTCTTTCAGTCTTTAACCTGACGTTTTGGGGACCTGATTTGTGTGATGGGGCTAGGTGGCTCTGTCTTGTATTCAGCCAGCCTCTATTCAATCCTGATCAGTCGGTGACTTTGGGCTGAAATCTCAGCTGGGGAGAGATACAAACAACTAAGATACTCTGTTCCTCTCTGGCAACAACTGGAAGAGGAGAATCAGTCCCTCCACTACAACAAAACCAGGGCTCAACCTTGGAGGGTCCCTCGGTGGCTGGCCATGTTGAGAATTCCAAACCAGTTGTTCTAGGCAGGAGAATTGCTGTTCAAGTGGGAGAGTTCAAAAGATCTCTAGCAACCAGACAGCAGAGGTCTCCTGGCAACTCAAGTATGATTTGCTCTGGTGTTCAGTGCAGTTAGAAAGGCCCACCCAGCAAAAGAGTTAGTCCAGCAGGGTTGGCCCCTCATTCCCCACCTAAGCCATGCCCAGTCACTGGTAATGCTACAGGGCTATGTCCCAGTTCCCTCCAGTGAGCATATGCACCATGGATTTGTGCCTGCCAGAGTCAAAGGGGAGTCAGTGCCTCCTCTGCCAGGCTGCTGTACTCTGCCACAGAGAGTACAGCAGGCAGGGAGAGCCCTAGACTGACTTCCCCTGTTGCACAGTGGAAACTGGGGAGTGTTCCTCCTGTGTCTTTTCCGAGCTGGGGATTATCTTTGCAGCATGTGTTTTTCTCCCTTAGCATCTACTCCTCTGCCCCACCTGCACTCCTCCTCTGGTACCCCTGCAGGGCGAGGTCTGGCTCCCTCCAGCAGCCCCCAGAATTGGGGAGGTATCTGTTTCTCCAATATTTGACCCTGGTGGGAGCATGCCACTATCACTGCTGCTGCCTTGCTGATGCCACTGCACGGCTCCCTGTGCTTCCACCCATGCTGTTGCCACTATCCTGCACTTCTTCCCTGGCCCTGGGCCGTCCTCCCCGTGTCTCTCCACTTCTACTGAAGTCACAGTTTCAGCGCATCTCTGCAGCAGCCCATGGAATGCCCAGTCCTAGCAAGGAACTGCCAGACACTCTGGGCTATGCATGGGGTAGGATTCCAGACCTCCAGGCGAGGGGGGAGGGTGAACTGGGAGTTCAGAATGGCATGGAAAACATTTGTTCAACTTTTTTGCCCGGCAAGAGAATGCCCAGGGTCACAGCAGGATCTCTCTGGAGAAGGAACCCGGCATTCAGCGGCTCTCTGATATGGAGTGAAACAAGAGGTCTTCTGATCACTGCTTGCTTTTAGAGAACATACAGCGAGCCACTCTCTTGGGGGAGGGGACAGACTCTTGTTATCTCTGGGATGGGTTTTATACCTGAAATTTGCTTCCTTGGAGTTGCAGCTTGTCTCAGCAGGGATGATGTGTACTTAGCAATCTTCTCTCTGAGCTCAGCTGCCAACATTCAGCTTTCTTGGGATCATTCTGACCATTATCTCTCTTTCTGGATAGGAACTTCTGTTGAAAGGTAGCTACAGTTGGCCATCTTACTTCCCAGTCCTGAAACATATTTCTGTCCTCTTACTTTTAATCTTTTTGTATCTTTATGTCTAAAGTGAATCTGTTGTAGTGGGCAGATAATTGCCATGTGTTCTTCTTCTTTTTTTTTTTTTAATTCTCTTGTCTTACAAGAGACAAGATTGACTTGTCTTTCTTTCTTTATATTTTATTTTTTAATTTATATTTTGAAAGTGACAGAGTCTCACTTTCTTTTTTCTTTTTCTTTCTTTTTTTTATGAAATCATAGCTGTGTATATTAATGCAATCATGGGGTACAATGTGCTGGTTTTATATACAACTTGAAATGTTTTCATCAAACTGGTTAACATAGC